ACTCTTCTTCCTCCTCTTCTCTTCCTCCTCCTCTCCTCCTCCTCCTCCTCTTATCGTGGTTTCGTGTAATCTTGCGTTATCTTTGATTGATTTATTTTTTTCTGTTCTTCCGTCAACTTTTTTGGTACATGGAATTTCTATCTGTTTATATCTATCTATCTTCGGTTATCTCTCCGATTTATCTTTTTTCCTGTTCTTTTCGTCGCCTTTTTTTTTTATTATTTATTTATTTATTGAACACGTAATATCTATCTGTTTATCTATCTATCCATCCACCCATCTATCACACACGCATATATACCCTGACATATATATCCATACATTATTTTGTATGGATATATGGCATTATTTTTTATTTCCTTTTTTCATCATGTGGATCTCTCAATATATAAACACCAGTCATCACGTGACACACAAAAAAATGCACTTGAAGAAAATTTTAATATTTCGCGCGTAGGTTAAAAAAAATGGCGGGAAATTTGAAGGGCGGAAGAGCGGTGGTTGGATAAAAAACCGGATCTTTTGGCCTCTTTTTTCTTTCTCTTTATCTTTTCTGTTTTTGTGTTTATTTATATTTAACTTTTTCACTTTATTTTTGTTTTATTTTTATTTTCTGATTTTCTTTTTCTCCGTTTTATTTATTTTTCCCTCCGTCTTTTCCCTCCTTTTTTACCTTTTTTTTTTTCTTTTTTCCTTCTCTTTTTCTTTTTCCTTCTTTTTCTTCCCCTTCTTCATTTTCTTCTCCTTCGTCTTCTTCAACAGCTTCACCCGGACGACCTCATCGTTATATATTTTTTTGTCTTCCCCTATTTTTGTTTTGAAGAGAGAGGGAGGGGAAGAGAGACAGAGGGGGAAGAGAAGGGGAGGGAGGGAGAGGGAGGGAAGGGAGGGAGGAGAGAGAGAGAGAGAGAGAGGAGAGAGAGAGAAGAGAGAGAGAGAGAGATGAGAGAGAGAGAGAGAGAGAGGAGAGAGAGAGAGAGGAGGGAGGGAGGGAGGGAAGAGAGAGAGGGAGGTATAGGGGAGGGAGAGAAAGACAGTGAAACAGACAGAACAGACAGACAGAGAGAGGGAAGAGGAGAGAAGACACAGACAGACACAAAGAATTCATATCTGGCTTGACAACATGTCCAAACAACGATTCAAAACCCCTCGCATATGTTTCCAACAGCCCTCGCTTCTCCCCCCCTTCCCCTCCCCATCCCATATCTCCCCATTGCACATCGGACCTCCCCCCTTCCCCCTCCACCCTCGAGCCCCTTCACTCCCATTATGGTGCGGTTACAATATGTTGCAACCTCCCCCCTCCCCCCCATTCCATTTCCCCTTCACCTTCTCCACCCACTCCTACTCTTGCTCCCTTATCCTCTCTTCTTCTCCTTCTCTTTCTTCTTCTTCTTCTTCTTCTTCTTCTTCTCTTTATCCTTTATTTTCCATTTCCCTTCTCTTTCTCTCCTCTCTCTCTCCCTCTCCTCACTTCCCACTCTCCATCCTTCTCTCCTTTTCTTCCCACTCCTCCATTCTCTCCCCACTTCCCCTCCTCTCTCTTCTCCTCCCCACTCCCCTCCTTCTCCTCTCCCCAATCCCTCCTTTCTCCTCTCCCCACTCACCTCCCTCTCATCCTCTCATCCTCCTCTCCCCACTCCCCCTCTCCTCCCTCTCCTCCTCCTCTCCTCTCTCCCCTTTCCCTTTCTTCTCTCTCTCTTCTCCATTCCCCTTTCTCCCTTCTCCCCACGACCCGCGATTCGAGTCAGCATCGCGCACGTGGCTGCCTTTGCGGGGTGAAGTGGCGGGACACCTCCCCCCCCCTCACTCCCCTCCCACCGGCTCCTCTCCTCCTCTCGCCTCAGTCCTCTCTCCCCTTCCCTTCTCTCGTCTCCCGCCTCCTCTCTCGTCTCTCTCGTCTCCCCCTCTCCCTCCTCTTCTCCCTCTCCTCCCCCCTCTCCTCTCTCCCCTCGCCTCCTCCTGCCCCACCCCCCCCCACGCTTGACCCGAGGTACGAGAACGGTCAGCTGGGGGCGGCGGAGACTGAACGGGAGATGGCGCTGGAGAGGGAGAGAGAGAGAGAGAGAGAGAGAGAAGAGAGAGAGAGAGAGAGAGAGAGAGAGAGAGAGAGAGAGAGAGAGAAGAGAGAATTGAACCGCCGTATGTCTCACTCCCTCTCCCTCTCTTCCCACCAACTCCCTCTCCCTGCCGCTCGCCTCTCCTCTCCCTCCTCCCTCCCTCCCCTCCCTCTCCCTCTCCCTCTCCCTCTCCCTCTCCCTCCCTCTCCCTCCCTCCCTCCCCTCCCTCCCTCCCTCTCCCTCCTCCCTCCCTCTCCCTCCTCTCTCCCTCCCTCTCCTCCCTCCCTCCCTCCCTCCCCTCTCCCTCTTCCTCCCTCCCTCCACTCCCCCCCCCTCCCTCCCTCCTCCATAGAACGTAGAGATTGATGGTGGATGTTTCGCCACCAGGATGAAGCGTTTGGCAGATTCATCCTACACCTTCCTGCACCAACGACGAGCGTATATATACTTCATTGTGTTGCAGCAATTTTGATGATGACAATGCAGGTGTTTGATATTTGTAAAGGTATTCGGATTTTGAAAAGAGGAAAGAAAAGGATTATCGCATTCATATTATCAATAGAAGATCAACTGCTGTAGTAATTGTTGCAATCATTTTGATGATAATGCAAGCGCTTCATATTTGTGAAGTTATTTAGATAATAAAAAGATTATCGTGTGTACATGATTGTTAGAACATCAACTGCTTTAATAATTATAACGATTTAGATCTAGACGTTTTATTTATATATTTTCGTTTTTTTGTTTTTTGTTTTGTTTTGTTTTTTTTTTGAAAACAAGGTATCATATATATATTATTAGCATTTTTTATGATTGTACGATAATTGTTATGATACTGTTATTTGGATAAGAAAAATTATCGTATGCATATCATTAATTAACAGAAAATCAAACTATGGTAATTTTTTTTTCTCTCCGCCCGAACGTTTGTCGGATTTTGGACGAGACTGTTACGCGCAAACCGCGGTCTCGGCCGTGAAGCCGAGGCGCCCGGTTTTGAGGTTTTTTGTCTGAGTCGGCGGGTGAGCACTGTTAGATCTGGCTACTGGGCAGTGACTGGTTCTCACTGGGAAAAGTGATGGGGTGCTTGTGTCTAGATTATGTTTGTAAGTATGACCGCATGAGTGCAAACGCGGACGCACAACACGCATACACGCACGCTCGCACGCACATTACACACACACGCACACGCACACGCCGCACGCAACGCACACGCACACACGCACACACACACACACACACACACACACACACACACACACACACACACACACACACACACACACACACCACACACACACACACACACACACACACACACACACACACACCACACATCACATACACGAATAAATAAGTATATATACAAAGAGAGAGACCGACAGTCAGGCAGTGAGAGTGAGTGAGTGAGTGAGTGAGTGAGTTCATCTTATAACATCCTCCATCCTTTCATTAAAATATTCTTTTCCCTACACACGAGGACAACAACCCTCTAAGGAAAAGAAAATTGTTTCCCCTTCGAGAGTGAGTGGAGCGGAGAGGAGGGAGGGAGAGATGGGAGAAGGAGGAGGAGGGAGGAGTGAAAGTGAAAGTGAGAAGTGAGTGAAAAGAGAGGAGACACACACACACACGCACACGACACGCACACACGCACACACACACACACACACACACACACACACACACCACACCACACACACACACACACACACACACACACACACACACACACACACACACACACACACACACACACACACACACACACACACACACCACACACCACACACACACACACACACACACAAAGAAGAGAGAGAGAGAGGCCGACAGACATACAAACACAGAGAGAAAGAGAGCGAGTGAGGGAGAGCGAGACAGCACCGTTCCCGTCCGTTGGTTCGGCCTCCACTGAGACAACGTGAGTGTCACCCGACGGTTATAAGAGGCAACCTTGCGTTTTCTGAGGAAGGGCGGGTGCGTTTGAGAGGGGTTGGTGGGAGGGAGAGAGGATAGGAAGGGAGGGAGGGAGAGAAAAGGAGGATGGGAAGGAGGGAGAGAAAAGGAGGATGGGAAGGAGAAAGGGAGGGAGGAAGGGAGGATGAAGGAGATTGGAAGGAGAAAGGGAGGAAGAAGGAGGGAAGGAGAAAAGAGGGCGGAAAGAGGAAGTGTCGACAGAGGAAACTAGCAACAAGAACGATTCCCTGCTATGGGTGGAAGGGCACGCGCCATAACGGTTAACCTTCGCCGCTGTGACCCGAATGACACACTGGAAAATAATTATCACTTCCTGGGTGACGTAGAGTAAATAATATGGTTATTTATGTCCGTTTTTTTAACCTTCGTCTCTTTGCCGTAGCAGTAAATATCAATCTGTAGAAGGTAATATGTTTAACCTTTCGTCGGAATTTCACAGTAAGAGGAAAGACAGAAAGATGTGTGTATTGAACGTTCAGTGTGGATTTTCGGTGTAATGCCATTTTCTCAGTGTGGATGTTCGTGTTTGAACGTTCAGTGTGGATTTTTGGTTTTAGTTGGATGTTCGTAACGTTCACCAGTTGGATGTTTTTCTCAGTCATTTTCAGTGTGGATTTTCAGTATTTTCTATTCTGCCATTCCTAACCTTATTATACCATTTCCTCAGAGTGGATACTCAGTTACATGCCACTTTCTCAGCGTGGATTTCCAGTTTTATGCCATTTCCTCAGCGTGAATTTAATCCATTTCTCAGTGTTTTTCCGTTTTTGCCATTTTCTCAGTGTCAATTTCCCGTTTTATACCATTCCTCAGTGTCAATTTCCCGTTTTATACCATTTCCTCAGTGTCAATTTCCCGTTTTATACCATTTCCTCAGTGTGGATACTCATCTCCATGCCACTTTCTCAGCGTGGATTTTCAATATTATACCCTTCTCTCTTAACCTCACTTCTTCCTCGACAGTTACGCCGGGCTGAGAGTGGGCGAGCGGCTTCCCTGGTGGCGAATGTGGTGCAATCTCCCTCGATTCCTCATGCAGGAGCTACCCGTCCAACATGAGAGATTCCGCCCTCTTGTTCTGCAATAAACACTTTGGGGTAAGTTGCGAAGGTGGGGAGAGAGGGAGGGAGGGAGGGAAGGGAGAGGGAGAGAGGGGGAGGGAGGGAGGGAGGGGGGGAGGGAGGGAGGGAGGGAGGGAGGGAGAGAGGGAGAGAGAGGAGATAGGAGTGAGAAAGAGAGAGAGAGAGAGAGGAGAGAGAGAGAGAGAGAGAGAGAGAGAGAGAGAGAGAGAGAGAGAGAGAGAGAGAGAGAGAGAGAGAGAGAGAGAGAGAGAGAGAAGGAGATAGAGAAAAGAGAGAGGGAGAGAGGAGATAGTGAGTGTGAGAGAGAGAGAGAGGGGAGATAGTGAGTGAGAAAGAGAGAGAGACAGGAGATAGTGAGTGTGAGAGTTTTGCATAAACTGAAAGACTTTATTGTAAAACAGAGAATATAGTGAAGGTTGAATAGTTAAGTAGTTTGGTTAATGATATATAATGAATATGTCGATAATAATCATTCAGTGTTTAATGTACATGAGCAAGAACTTTTATTGCGACCCTTGTTTTGCCATTATGTCATTTAAGTATGACTATATTGACTTTAAAGCCTTGTTAAAGGAATTTAGTAGAATATTATACGAAATAGCCTTGAGAAGGTTGGTACAGCTGCACTTTCGTTTTCAACTGTATCCGAAAGCTATAATATGATTCAAAAAAAAATAAATGTCATATTCATACATGTAATTGAACTACCTTTTGAACTTCCTTGTTTATTATTTTTCAGGGAATACTCAAATAGTTTGAAGTAAACTAATACTAACGATTTGTCAAGTAATTGAAGATGATGGTTTTCATACAGACAGTTTTTTAGTCCAAGAGAAAGAAATTTATATCATTATTGTTTACTCTTTTAAATTATTTACTTATTTTGATATTATTTCAATGGTTCTCTAGTACAGTACCGGGAAGATATTGATCCCTTGAGAATGATGTAACAAAGTGATAGAAAATAATGCTTTTGTACTTTTTCAGGTGCCGTAATGTCGATGGGTTGGGGAGGCATGGTGGTGGGTCCCGGTTGGTGGGGGGGAGGAGGTGGCAACAAGAGCGCAGTTCAGCTGTTGCAGGAGAGTAAGTCACGCTATGTCAAGAGTGACCAAGTGCTTGGCAACCGACAAGCACCAGCTCGACCTGATCACCTGCAGATCTCCTCCAACCCGAATATCTTCTTAAGTGCACCTTCACATACGCTTCATGTTTCGCGACCTTCCCCTGCACCTGAGCGACGCCATGCCCTCGCAGACCACAACAGTGTAGCTAATATTCGCGGCCATGCGCCTACCGGCCTCTCTCCCCCGCGTCCGCAACCAGCCGCTGGTCCTGCCTCTTTAGGGGTGCAACCTCCTCCGCTGCCAGCTCGATCCCCTAGAATCACGCCTCGACCTAAGGTGCGACTGCATGGGGATGCCCAGACCGGCCGCGCAGGAGGGGATCTAAGGAGATCTCTCTCTCATGGCCCTGGCGACAGAGGGGATGATGTGCAGATGAAGCTACGTCGCCTGCTCAACACGGACTCGCGAGAAAACTTGGCAGCAATACTTACAACTCCTGACAGTAAGGATGGGAAGGCCAAGATACCACCACCTCCACCAAGAAGGAATATTAAGAGTTCTCCGTCAGGGACATTCCGTGCAGAACCTGCAACTGTAACGACGCACAAATCTCTGCCAGATCTGGCTCGTGCCTCTTCCCCAGCAGGTGAGACAGACTCAGAATGTGGGACAAGTGGCCGGAGGAGGCCGTCATGCCCAGAAGCACTGACCTCCTCCAACACCCCACCAGAGCCGCCCCCTCGTCCGCCTCGAATGTTTCGCGACCCTCCCCCTCCTCCCCCACAGCGTTCTCCTGACAGGCCTCCAGCTAGACCCCCACCGCCAAGAGACCAAAAAGATTCTTCCATGAATTTATTACGAGCTGGTGCCACTGGAGGGCCCTTGCTCACAGCTGATGGCCGGCGATCTTCAGATAGTGATATATCTGGTTATGGAGGAACAGGGAATGGGGTTGGGACGAGCGAAGAAGGACGGAGGCGACCCATCCTCAGATCGAGGTCTGATGTGACTCATGAGCGAGGACGTTGGGAGGAAGATGTACGACCGATGCTAGCCCCTTTAGACCTAGAGGCATTCTTCGAATCAATGGGCTTAGATTCTGTTACTCGGCAGCATCTGACATCTCCACCATCCTCGCCTCACTCCTCACCAGTATACTTTGAAGAAGTGTCATCAGAGGAATCGGGTCCAACTGGGGGACGGAGAGGCAGCTCAGATTCTGATGATGGACGAGCTGCAACAGGTCCTGGTCCTGGCCCTCCTTTGCCTCTTCGTGGAACGGGTGAACCTTCCATAGTGGAGAAGAATGCACGTATTATCAAGTGGCTGTTCAACTGCCAAAAGGCACAGGGCACTTACGTCTCACGAGTTGCTTCCACCAAAAGCTAACCACATGCCTGCCCACAGTGTTTTACTAGTCTGTAGCCATAACTTGCTGTGTTGCCTGAGAAAGTGTGGAGAGATGTTCGGCAGGCGAGTGTGAACCCTCCCTCTTCTCTTTCACGGGTTATGTTTGGCTGCTTTTCTGTGATAATCCGAGTGACACCTCATAGCTCAGCACAGTCTGCTATTTTAATTGTCCAATAAGAATCTACCCTACTACTAAGGTATCCCATGAGACAATGATGAATGTTGGATGTTTTAAGTGTTGTTGTTTTAGAGAGTTTGTTATTGGCTTTGGTTGGTAAGGGGTTTCATCAAGGACTTTTTTCAGTTAATAGAAAAAACAAGACGTGGAAAATATTGATTTTATTGATACAAACGACAACACCATTATAAAGTTTTCATCAGCCTATTCATCTGGTGCTGATTACATTAAAAGATATCACATACATGAGTTGATATTTACTTCTATGTTAATTGTCTAATATGACAGCAACACTTTGTTTATATATTTTTTTCTATTTCACATTGGAAAGTATTTTGATATGATACATGTGCAATAACTATATGTGAGCCAGAAATTTATATAAAGGTACAAGCCTTTACTTTATACAGTGTAATGTAAAAGTGGAAGGTGTTATAGAAGAAATGTAATTATTGTAGTGAGCACTTAATAGTACTTTAACAAACATTCACTGCCTCATGCCTTCATTTATCCTATATTAAATAGATATTTATTAAACCTATGGCTTTAGGGCTGGGAAACACAAATGCTTGACCAGAGAAGGTGAATGGAACATCAAGGAAAGTGCAGAATACCTGATATGTGATTGGTCATGGTAGAGGGTCAAGAAATGTGTTTCCAGTGATAATGACTCTTGCAACACTTACTTTGAAAGCTTGATATCTTTATTGAAAACCACAGTTCTCATGGTATTGTTTTTTTTTTACAGAAATATTAAATTTATAATCTATAAGAGTGTTCTGTAATATGATATAAAAAAAAATCATGAAGTAAAGTTTGTGAAAAGGATATTTCTTGATCATCTAAAAAGAATATCAAGATTTCAATGCTTTTTTTCAGTATAACTCCAATGCCAATAACAACTCTCTACTCTGTGTTTGTGAGCATTGCCCAAGAATTTAGTGATCATTCTCTTGGTTACTCTTGAAGGGACTGTGTTGTACCTGAACATGCCTGGGACCGGTGCTTCTTGAGATGCATCTAGTCAGGGGCCCAATTACTGTAGTACTTGGCACCTTCACCCTAGAGGCGTACCAAATCTTACTGACGGGTACATATTCTAATGTGGAGAATGCGATAGGCAGAAATTTGGGGAAGTACGCATAGAGTGCATCAGTTGTGTCATTACTTAATTAAAAGGTTTTAGCTGTTCAAGGAGGATAACACACAAGAACTTCCCAGAGAGGAAACCAGTATTGTTGGTCTTTTTATTATGATTTTTGCATAGTTAATGCAGAAGAGAAACTACAAGTGTGAGCATGAATTTCAGCAAGTAGGTCTTCCTGTGCTTTATACATGATATTAGTTTGCAATAGATGGAGCAAAGACTGGAAGTTAGGTTGTCATTTGTTAAGGAGAGTGTATGGCTTGCTCGTAAAACTTGCATTCATTCATTATTACCTTCTTTTATTGGAATAGAAGCTGTAATCATTGAGGTAAACATCTTTCCAACATTATAAATGGACATCTTTTCCAAAAGATTTGATAATCACTGTAATGGTCTGCATTATGCTTAAATTAAATGTTGAGAAACTGTGCCACAGTTATTAGAGAGATTCATTATATAGAGAATGATATTTGGTTGCTAACTCATTTGAGAAATTTCAATTAATTATAAAGAGTAGCACTACATGTAGGTAGGATGTAGAGCATTATGTAGTCCATAACAATGTTGGTATTAATGTTTAGGAACATTGCAGACCCTCAATTAAGTTCATTATATCTGTAAGAAATAGGTAACAAGATTGACAAATCATATTTGTAAAGAAGTACCTTTTTCTTTAAAGTTGACAGATATGGAATGATTATAATTTGAAGTATGTCTTTGATGTATCCAGATCACCATGTAATATTTTCTCTCCTCTTTTCAGTTACACCAATTACCAGTCATAATTACATTTAAGAATAGAAAAGCCCGAATTTCAGTACACGCCTCTTGAAGGATATTAGAAAAAGAATAATAATCAAAATTTGTGTTGTAGAAAGCAGTACCGAGTATAACTCGTGCATATTTTTGTAATGGCTATTGCCAATTAGTTTTTCATGGTCTTGAGAATCCAAGTTATTCTTCACATGGAATTTGGAAATTATGGAATGAATTTGATAATGGTAGCACTTGAATGATGTGTCAGCTCGGGGGAAAACAAGTACTCAAAAGCTCAATCTCTTTTAATAATTTCTCTGCAAACAATTTTTCTTACGAAGAACACCTTCCAAAAACTCGAGTTATTGGGACCTTTATAATGCACACTTTCACCTCGACATGGTGTCACATGCTTAATGTCTTGCATTTGATGTTACTGCTACTTTCAATCCCTTTTGTACTGCTTATCATAGTTGGTGCACTAGAGGTCATAAGCATCATATGAATTATATGTGGCTGTTTCTCTTCATATGAAAAGTTTGGAAAGAAATATAAAGCTTTTGACTTGTACGTTTGATGAAAGCATTTCTGCATATAGTTTCAGGCTCCAGATTCTTTGCAGTGTACTGAAAGGTTATTTACAATTGTAAGTTGAACAATCAAATGGGTATCTATTATAAAAATCATTTTATTGAAGTAGGGTTATAGAAATATCACACACTATCCAATATTGAAAAGTATGTCATCTGTTTTTTCATTGCATATGTACCTAGTAACCTGTATTTGAGCTTAATTAGTTTTAACTGAAATGACCATACAACTTAAAGGTTAACAACAAATTTAAAGGTATTGCTCTTGTTAAGATTATATGCAAAGACACTGCAAACTCTTGTATCCTGTCTTACCTGCAGATCTGTTATAGATTTATAACTTTTGTATGTAGATGGTCCTCACAACTCTGCATTGCTTTTAGATGTTAAATACAAAAAAGGAACATGTTAGATAAATTACAAGTTCAGTTATGCAGTAGTAGTGGCAGATGTTTGTTCTTTAAGTGTAATTGAGTTGAAAGCAGAATATCAAAAGTGCATATAAAAAAAAGGGTTAGATGAAAGTATGAAAATTGCAAAATCAAATGTTGTAAAACATTTGTTGATTATTCTTAGGAAAGAAATTGATTTTTTGATATTTAGTTGTAACTACAATAACATCTAGTCAAAAGAGGAGGAAGAATCTGCTATGATTGTGAAGGTAAATAGGAATTCAGGTTCTTAATTTATAGGTAATACTATCTTTGAATATGAAGCCAAGGCTGGTACTGACCAATTACGTCTTAGGAACTATTTCTATACGGCTGATTTAGACTGCATTTGCATGGGCTTTTGAAGAAAGAATTGGAAGGTTGGGTGTTGCACCCTGCTACCAGTCCTCTTACATGGTTACTGCCAGTTCTGCTAGTGCTATAGAACAGAATGTTTGAGTAATATATCTGCTGGAAGTGGTGATAGGAGCTTAGTGTAGATCAGTGATACCCCAGCTTTAAAAGTTGTGTAGGAGTTATAAAGATTCTAGGTAGCAATGCAGAGTAAAGTAATGTTGCAGTTAAATTCCTCTCCACATTTGCAAAAAAGATTATTCCTTTTTACTGACACTTTTACTAAGTATTGTAATTTTAAAACTATGACTTGAAATTATTTACAGAAGTAATAGTATTACAATTATATAAGATTTCTGAATTTTGATGGACGGTACACTGTTTGAATATTTTAGGCTCGGTCTTGCCTAAGTTCACACAACATGCAATTGTGCTCTGCAAGCAGTTTTAAGAAATAAGAATAATACTGCCAGGATTTAAGTAAGGTGAATAATATTTTCATGCTAAGAGTAAGCAACAGTTTTGTGTAAGGCATTGATTGTGACTATTTTTTATATATAACTTTTCATCAATGAAAACCATTCCATCACAGTATATGCAATGGAAGTTTTAAGAAAGATTGTATGAGTGGATCCATCAGGAGAATTACAGGAATGACAGTTTGTACGTTCACGATTTACCTTCAGAATTTGAGTACTCTTTCTTTTTGACTGTATATTTCCTTAGTCATAATGGAATACATTAAATATCTATAGAAAATTATGTGTATATATGGTACAGGTGATAAGTGAAGTCCAAGAACAAGGAACTGTAGGTGATTTTATAGGTATTGGCTCAGGGTGCTCAAAAAAGTTAAGACTGAAATAGTGCATATATCAAAAGACATGTGTAGCTTTTGTATATATATTTAAATGTATTGTATTCAGCATAATGCCCCCATTATATAACAGAACATTCCCACATACTGGGCATATTTTTATTATGGAAATATTTGTATAATGCACTTTATCGCAACACCAGTAAATTTTCTCTTTGGCAGTAAAAGATGGTCTGAGAAATGTATTTGCTGTTTCTTTGTTATTGTTATTTTGAATGCATAAGAGATGATAAAGCATTAGCAAAACTATATATATTATTTTATTCTAATTTTATATCAAGCTTTGCAAACATGACAGTTTGGTACAGAGCTATCAACAAATGCGGTTTCTACAAAAAAATACCTTGGGTAGATGATATGTGATTCACATTTATATATTTTTTATATATATATCATTATCTGCACATTGCCCTTGATATATCTTGAATCTGATATTGTGTGAGTTCTTGTTGTAGTATCTTAACACTGTAGAATAATAACCAATCAGTATTTAAGTATTTGTATTAATGTGTTTATATTGACTTTTACAGTGAATTTATATTATGTATGATGTCTTAAATAGATCTGAAAAAAATCTAAATATATTTTCATTATCAACATTTACCCATTCCATAAACTTGTGCAATTATACAAAAAAGATCAACTTTAAAGTGGTTATTTTATATTTTGTATTGTTATCAGGCAGCTTGGATCCTCAAACAATTTCTTACTATCAAACACACGAATGGCTGATCTGATACCAACTTCAATATATATCCTACTAGCCTTCTCATCTCATTTTGTAAAAATAGTTAAAAAAAATATATATATATACTAGTCACTGTCCTACGACTTTGTGTTGCTTTATTGCCTTGTGAAAAATTATACAAGAGAATGTAACTCAGCATTAGAGGTACATTAGAAGAGATTAACCCTTTCTATCCTGAGCACCGCAAAAAAGCAACAGCTACCAATGCTCTCCTGAAATCTAAGGGGGTAAAGAGTATAATCATGGGGGAACTTTTACTTTTTATTTTCCAAAGATTATGTTGCATGTTAGAAGTATATCGTGTTATTTATAGTGATATCAAGTTTATCACTATAAAAGCATATAACACATCTTCGAACATAGCTTCAATAAAAATAAAAACAATGGGTAAACAGAACGAGTGGCAGTTTGATCGAACATATTCAAGAAAAGTTAGAAAAAAAGGGATGAAATGGCCGAGACATCCTTAATCAGTTACGAATATATGTAAGTGATTAAACAGAAGATATAAAAGTTAATCACTCAAGACAGGGAATGATTAATATAAGAAATGAGATACCCTAGAGCACATTGTATGCAAATATCATTTTGAAATGAGCAGGACAGGACAATGAATCGTACAAAGCAAATGATCAAAATAAATCTATAATGTTCTTTATGCAAGATTGGAATATACTGACACTAATGTTAAGTAAAGGAAAAAAAACTGAGGCAAAACAAAACTTTACACAGATGAGGCATGGAATGGCTTGAATAGGGTGTATCTGTACATTTGAATATTTCTTATCTTTCTCTTGTACTAATTAGTTTCTTAGACTTCCTTAAGAGATATGCACACACGTTAATTATACACCATTTTCCTTAAGTACCTGTGATGAAAACACCAAGTAACTCCGTCAGTTTATTGAAAACAATATATATGAATATGAATATGTACTACTGCAGTCCACAGCTTTCTTCCACACCGGCGCTGCAACCTTACTGAACACACTAGGTCATAAGTTAGCGAGAACCACCATTTGAGTGCTATGTATTATTTACCTTTATTAACCAGGAAAAATACAGAAACGGTATCACTAAACCACGGTAAGTACTGTACGAAGGGCTGATGTATTTCCATCTTAATATTTTAATGGATCTTTCCTTACGATAAGATTTTCTATTGCCCAATGTTAATATAGAATATTATGATGTGAAATAAACACCTTCCCCGTTTATGTTTGCACTCACTATAGACTTTTTAAGGTGCATAGTGGAGGTTTTGAGGTTATATGTTACTTGAAAAATATGTTGATTGCAAAAATTACCTATGAAAAATTAACACTGTAAAGCAATGGTTTCGGAACCTTAACTTTTACAATCTACCGACTTTTGTTATTATTTACTGATACTTGCAAAACAGAAACAAAAGGAATAATGTTACACTCGCATCAGTCAAAATTCCAGAAGTAAAAACCTTCGGACATTTTTTTTTTTTTTTTTAATATTTACTCTAAAGAATGTCAATTTTACAAACGTAAACTATCCCTATTAAAACTGATCGAAAATGTACAACATATACAAGATGGATGTTCTCAGTACCCTAGTAGTAGAACAAATTCAGAATGACTACCCATTTATGAAAGAAACGATAGTAAGTGCTGAAGTGTCTTTTTCTTGGACAAACTCGGCAAAACTCTCATCTAGTTTCCCGCACAAGTCTAAGAATCGCTGTAGTCGAACACAAAGCCAAGGACACAATGTTAAAAGGAACTTGCCCCGCTATTATTATTTTAAGCAAAAGACCCCTATAAAATCACCATTTAAATATAGTCAATTGTGTGTGTAATGTATATTAACATATTAAATATATATATATATATATATATATATATATATATATAATATATATATATATATATATACACACACACACACACACACACACACATATGTATATATTTGTATGTGTGTGTGTGCAATTTTGATACTTGTTTTCTTTTGTCGCCATTTTAAATGATATTTAAAAACCAGTCTTCACCATTCAAAACTCAGTTACCTTACTTTTGTATTCCAGGCCCTCTAAATATAAAAATATGCCCCATAGGCTTTTGTTTACCAGAAAAAGCTGGATAGAGTGTGTAGAAAAGACAAAAATCTCTGCCTTCAAAAAAGACAAAGTATGTCATTTAATCATACAATGACTAACTCTTGCACAACTAATTCTTTTACAATTGGCTGGTCCAAATAAGTCAGAAATGACGATTATAGATATTTTACTACATACAGCTTTTATGAATTCGAGTGTCCTTTTTTAAAAAAATCATTTACTTACTGTTCTAATTACTGGCAGTACTATAACTGATCTACAATAATGTCAGTTTCATATGTAAGTAAAGAAAAAAAAAATGAATGAAGATTATCAATAATTCACTTAAGCACCTTTGAATAAAAATTCCTGTCCAACATAAATATCTAAACATTTTAACCCGCACGTAAATTAAGATTCAAAAATCGAATGGCAACTCTCCCAGGATCTGTACCGGCACAAGGCGGTATAAGGCAGCCGGCATTACGTGAAAGAATATAATAAATAAATGGACAAATAAATAAAATGATAAGTAAAAAATAAAAATATATTCGGCTCCAACTAGTACTGTGGGCAAGATGTATGTCGTGAACTAGATTCTCATAGGGCAGTGCCATAGGTAGTGTTTAGCTCAGGTGCCAATGGAAGGCTTTAATAGAAAATGGACAATTAATAGGGATAACTCGGATAAATGGGGAATAAATGGTTTATTGGAAAATGGGCAATTAGGGATAATGCGGATATATGGGGAATAAATAAATGGCTAACGAAATCTTAATAAAGGAGAAAATGTATGCAGTTCATTCATTATCTGAAATATGCTTATTTTACTACGTTTATTTTTTACAAATTTATTATTTTGCATTTCGTTCACACTCACCACGTTTCTTTATTACTTATTATGTTATAAACATTTATGCTAATATGCTAATAAACATATTGTTACTTTACTATGAATTGGTGAAATCCACAAAAGAAAAGACATTTTTCGACATTTACAATTGACGTCATTAAAAAAAAAAAAAAAAAAAAATAGAACGGAACTTGATACCCCACGAAGAACACTAAACTCTTTTCTTTCTGCCATTTCCACAAAGAAATACATTTGAAATTCTTTGTTTCTCCATGTGAAAAAGGAGCTGTTAGGTTGAATGATATTTGTTTACTTGTTGGTATTATTCCAGAAAATAATGAACAGTAACATGGCTGCCATTCAATCGGTTTAGCTAATTCCTTGACAAGTTCTTAGCATCAGTTACCTCACAATATCTTTTATTTCTTTTATTTCTGTCATCTGATTGGAGTAATTCTTGACTTCTAACCTGATTTATATTTGGCCAAGGAGAATTTTGTAGTTCTTTAAGATTTAAACTTGCAATATTTGATATGTTCATCTCGTGTAAACTCCATTAATGCGCTTCTTAAGGAGTACTTGAAAACCTTTTTGCTGGTAATCCATGTGAGAGGTCAAAGAAAATTATGCATGTACGTAATATCGTCTTCTGTTAACATCTCTGTTTACACACACAAAACACCTTCTATTTGAAAATAAATACTACAGAACAGTATCTTACCCTTCTATGTCTTTATTTCAAATAAAACTTGTTAGAATACCCATTTATAACCACCATTCTAATCGCAACAACAGTACCAATGATAGCAATGATATACTGGTTAGAGCCAAACCTTACTAGTTTTCCTCCAGTAATAATAATCCTGACGAACTTTGAATAAAACGAATAACGGAAAAAATATACACCTCCAACACACGCACGCCATCTAAGTCAAGTCGTCTCCGGGGAACATTACACAAGAAGCAATGGACACTGCCTAACCTGACCCACACAACGACAATTTTACAAATGACCGCCAATGTTTGTTGACGTTATTGTTATTATGAGCGTTATCCTTGTTATTTCTATTATTGTTAGAAGTGGTAATGTATTTCTCATTAAAGTGTTATTGATAGTATTAACGTTATTGTTATTTACTGTGTTTTTGCAAGTATTATCATCGTTTATGCAAGAATTATACATAGCACTGTAGGATGGCCGTTCGATCGCAGGAACTTGTAAGGACTCGGCACCAGGAACGGAAAGATGGACAGGAGTAGCACATATATACACATGCACACGAAAATACATACATATATATACAACAAATATAATATGTATATGTATATAAGTAACCACATGTATATATACCATAGTTGCCGGTATATGAGATACAAATTTAGATATGAAATGCACCCCTATTTTTGACAAAAAATTAATCAATTCATATAGTAAATTCTATCATATATATATACATATATATATTCAAAATTATTTCATTTACTTGTTGTCAAATATGTATAATTTCATACAATGTCTATTGTTTACATAAAAAGAAACATTTCAGTAAAAATAGTAAAAGGTAAAAATAAAGAATAAGCAAGAAAAGCTAAAACAAATACTTTAGTAAAACCAAAAATCAGTCTGCGATTAATATTTTTACATGACAAACAAACAAACAAAAAAGATAATAATATGAAAAGAAAAGAATAAAAAAAACTTACATAGTCTGACCTAGCTGTTAAGTTCATTTAGAAAAAATATATTCATAAATGTTTTAATCATTATCAAAAAAGAAAACAAGCTTATAGTAAGCCTTCATAGAAAAACGACAAAAAATAATGTATTACTTTTTCAAAAATACTTTAATTCCCCCCCCCCAAAAAAAAAAAAAAATATATATATATATATATATGAGATGG